CCTCTTGTGTGCCACGCCCCTTCATCTACCCCGTGTGGAGTCCCCATGTTCCCAGCTGTTTCGAGTCATGTTGATTGCTGTTGTGTATTTAAGTCTGCATTAGAGTATGTATCCCCAGTCTGGTCATTGATATCAGTTCTATGTGTCACGCTTGTGTTTTCCCCGAATAACTCCGGCGTTTCCCCGACTCCCTGGACTCCTGCTCCTCTTTCCCTGCTCTGTTCCTTCAAGCGTGTGACACATTAACTGCGTAGTAAAGATCTTGTGAGTAGCAATCATTACCCAGCAGTCAGTATTTATGTACTCTCAACTACGGATCAAAAGTTCTTTAACAGCTCAATGTTATCTCATTGTAATGTTCCCTTTTACTGGAAAACAAATACATAGCTGTGATTCAGTTGTCCTCTTGTTCTCAAGTGACCAACATGAGTACAGCCAACTAAGCTGTTAAACCTGTCCTGAGATCATGGTGTAACTGTCCCAATGACAGTGTGTTCTAAAAGTTCATTTTAGTTATAAATTGAGTTTACCTAACTTCATTGAGATGCAAATAAACCTTCAAATGACATCTGTATGAAGCGTGGCCATTGTTTAATTGGACTCGTGTAGCTACACATGGGTGAAAATGGGTAGTCACCTCACAGTAACAGGAAGAGAATCTTGATGATGCGTGTCCTCTCTGGACATCGCCCTGCGCCCTCCAATTTCTGACGCCACTGATGAAACATGTATGTAACGGCAATTTCACTTTCTTTGGTAAGCCACCATCTAACTATTCATTTGACTGAGCTAGGTACTTATTACATGACAGGTAATTATACATGTATGTAAAGGCAATTCCAGTTTTTATTTTTTTGATATGCCACCAAGCCCCTGCTGTAGCCCAGTTGGTCACTTTTAATTTTTTTTTTTGTCACTGTCAATGTTTCAGGCTTTGTCAGAACATGGTGAATCTAGCCGCACTATAAAGAACATAAGAAATTTACAAACGAGAGGAGGCCATTCGGCCCATCAAGCTCATTTGGAGAGAACTTAACTAATAGCTCAGAGTTGTTAAAATCTTATCTAGCTCTAATTTAAAGGAACCCAGGGTTTTAGCTTCCGCTACACTAGCAGGAAGACTATTCCATACTCTAACTACACACTGTGTAAAGAAGTGCTTCCTCAAATTTGTTTTAAAATGTTCTCCTGCTAATTTCCACTTATGGCCACGAGTTCGATGGTTGCAACATTATGCACTAAAGTATCCCAGAGTAATCCTGTGCACAATTGGACATATATTTTAAACATTTTCCACCAAGAGGCATCATAATAATACACAAAACATCAATATTATTCACATTAGATGGAAAACAAAGCAGATATTTGATTTAGCAATGATCCACGTACTACCCTTCAGGTAAAAATATAAATTTTATAATTTATTTATTATAAGCCTACAAATAAAAGGATAGAAAAACACTCAAAAATGGCTGGAGTTCTACTAGAAATAACGACAAAACAGCATTCTGTTTATTAGGAAGACAATTACTTGACATTTCTGTAATATTTATTCACGAAAGTTTGTACATGTATGTGTAATGTCACGCTCTGTTAAAACGGTTGAAATGGAATGTGCCCATTGTGTAATTCAAACACTTCCCACATGTAAACACAATGACGTGCTACAGCGCAGGTTTGTTGTTTGAGGCTAAAATGCCAACAAAAAGTTTCATTCTCAAATTTTGTTTTACCAATTTGAGGCTATTTTATGGTGGTTTTAAAGGAATGGCTTTCTCCTCACTGAGTGACCTTTCAGCTCATGTCGGTACAGGACTTGTTTTACTGTGGATAATAACACTCTGTTACCAGTTTCAGCCAGCATCTTCACAGGGTCTTTTGCTGCTGTCCTGCGGTTGATTTGCACATTTCGCACCAAAACATGTTCATTCCTGGGACTCAGAATCTGTCTACTTCCTGAGTGGTATGATGGCTGTATCCGCCCATGGTGTGTATACTTGGGTATTATTGTTTGAACGGGTGAACGTGGGACCTTCAGGCATCTGGAAATTGTGCCTAAGGATGAACCAGATTTGTGGAGGTCCACGATTGTTTTCCTGATGTCTTGGTTGATTTCTCTTAATTTTCACATGATGTCACAGAATGAGGCTCTGTGTTTGAGGTGTGCTACCAATTCATTAAAGCTTCTAAAGCTCAGACTGGAGTCATCTGGAATTTTCTATGTTGTTTAAAGACATAATAAACTTAGTGTATGTAAACTTCTGACTTTGATGAAAATAAAAAATTAAATTCTGACATTTAACAAATACAAAAAATTGTGGGTGAGGTGGTGGCTCTGAGGCCAGGGATCTGTGCCAGCAACTGGAAGGTTGCTGGCTCAAATCTCATGAGTACCTGGAGTGATTCTACTCCATTGCGTCTTTGAGCAAAGCCCTTAACCTGCAACTGCCTTGTCCTGGGTATGACATTAATCTAAATCCATTCATCCTTACCTCATCCCTCATCAGGTGATCTGCATCTAATAACACAGTCAGAATTAAACGGTCTGGTCAGAGATTTGGGTCTGTCGAGAACAAAAGCTGAATAGCAGGAATGGTGTTTGATGTCACCAGGTAAGGTACAAAAATTTCTGCTGACTACTGTTGGACACTGCGATGTGATGCAACTGACATTGAATACAAACAAAAATCAAGAAGAAAACACTTCTAATGTTGAACTTACTTTGTTTAGCGTATGAGGAACATAAATGTGATTAAATATGTTAGTGCTGGTAAACAGTTAACTATCTATTTCTCAGAGTTCCTATGTGATGCAGCAAAACCAAAACTATATTTGTGCATACCCACCTGTCGTAATCAACAAAAACTTTTCAGGAAGTAAAACGTTTCAAATAAATTGTTGTACAGTGTTATCTGACACAAGGTGTTCTGGAATGCTATGTTTTGTGAAGACCTTTTTGAGAACCGTTATGACTACTTCTGTGGTCACAGTCTTTAATCCTCCCACTTAAATGAAGAAATAATCTACTACTAAAAAGTAGACTTTGTTTTCCAAGAAGAAGAGATCAGTTCTAACCCTCTACCAATGTTGTGTTGGAAATTGTAGAATTTTGCTCTGCAAAGTGTGAGCTGCAGCTGGAATCCTGGCTGTAATTACACCCATAAAGAACCTCTTTCTCCATCTCTGTCTCTTCCCCTTTGGATTGGTGGGGGACAGGAGCTCGACAGAATATATCTGTGGTAATAAGCTACTTACCAGGAATGTGCACAACCACATAGCAGAACATGAGCAATGGCAGCCAGAATTTAGAAGATATGTGAAGTTCATGAAATGCCTACTTCTGTTGGAAATTCCAAAGGGAATATGATGGAACGCATGGCACCCAAATGGAGTAATAAATTTTGTGAGGAAGGAGGATTCTGAAATCATGGTGATTTGTCAGAATCCTGACTTTGCATTGGGAGTAATCACTGTATGTTCACACCTCGGGTGGTGAAAGCATCAGCGTTCACTCTAGCTGCCCTGGTGGCGATGCTTGCCAACGCTGTGGACACTCTCTCACGTAGATGGAGAAGACGGAGACAAGGTCATTCACAATGACACTGTAGGTCTTGTGACCTTTTTAAAGAGGCCGCAAAGCAAGCAAACGTGTAGCTTATCTTTGTGCCGACTGGCGAATAGGGTGTAATTTGTCAAACAGGTAATGCTGTAAGCCAGTTACTGCATTCTCGCTTAAAATCAAGCGCTATGGAGGGAAAATGTTGCCTTATAAAATATGTTACTTATGTAGCTATACTTTAAAATATGTACTTCAAATCTAATAAGAAATGACTCATTGCATATTAACATATACAACAACACAGACTTTACAACACGCAACTACGTCATGATATGTTATGTATTACTGCTGATAATGACTTTTCAAATGCATAATGTGGTGTGTTAGAGTAGGCTAGTGTAATACCTCCCACCTGACAACATCATCCATCAGTATGTTTGCATGCACGATAGGAAAATCGAATTGTTGTGTTTGTCCGACTCAAACTGGACTTTTAAAGTACATATAAACATGTTATTCTGACTGAAATCATATTAAATTGAATTTCTCAAAGTCAGGCTTTGACCCGGAAGTAACAGAAGACGCCGGTACACAGAAGAAGCATAGAGCATAGCAGAGGACGTACAGCACGTATGAAATATACAGCACTGTAAATCTGTCCAATTCACCGCTCAACTAAAGGGTACATTTCCACCGCACCAGGTACCGTACTTTTGGTACTTCGAGAAGGCGCCAAAAGCATCATACTTCAGCTGGGTGTTGGTTTTCCATTGGTGTGAAAACTGGTACCGCCGCTGAATGACATCACAACATGAGGCAGGGTATTTTATACCGAATTTGAAGTAGTAAGACTGGACGACGTGTGATATTAATACCAACATCGCATGTTATCCACATTCAGTTCTTACATCACTAGTCAGCTAGATTAAGATCAGGCTTTTTCTTACCTTCATTTTGGTAAAAATATTATAGTGCAAGCAGTTTAAGCCTTGCTAAAACATTTTTACTGTTTCATAGGGAAAAAAAACTAGAAAGTTGTACAGAAAATACAGCAAATATAGATATAATTTATAAATATATTGATTATTTAGAATTCATATAATTACATTACTGGTTATACGTACAACTGTTTTTATTGTTTAATTATTTTTTTTTTGGGTTAGTTTCTTGTGTTTTGGCGTTGCCTTCCGTTATTTTTTTTTTTGGATTTGTGGTGTTTAGTTTAGTACGTGATTTTGGTGAACCCAAGGTTGCTCAGGAATGCATTTGTCGTGTTGTAGCAGGACTGACTGTACACTTATAAAACTGCAGCAATTTCTAACTATCACTAATCTGTAACATTAAAGGAATTTTTGACATTATTGAAACGGCTTTTCGTTGTGACCTTGTTCAGGATAAGTATTATGACTGGAATAATAGATGGATGGATGGATGCAACAGCTTCTCAACACAGAACATCTTTCAGATTTCTTCACAGGAAGAGGATCCTGATGGCATTTTTACATTTTCATGTGTAACATTTAGGGTTACATACAGACATTTTAAGTGAAAGTGAAGTAAGTTGAACTGTCTATTTTCAAGTGACTGAGTACGAATATTTCTCATATTAATCCATACTGTATACAGCATGTCCCCTATTGTAAGATCCAAGTTAACTGTGTCATTGGGTTCAGCTGGACAGAATGGTGATGGATTAGAGTGGGGTGAGGATAGAGAGGAGAGGCAGAAGGAAAGGGATGATGGTGCTGATGTGACTTGCTGCAGCAGAGCTGGTGGGGAGATTGCTAATAGTACTCTGGAGGAAAGCAGTGAACTGAGACACCTTAGTTAGGGTCATTATCTGGGAAGAGGTGGCTCTGCTGGTGCTGGAGGTGTTGGTCATTATCACTGCGGCCTGGAACCAGGTGTTTCCCTGTTTACAGAGTAATGGGTCACCTGCATCACCCTGAGGTGAGGAGAGAGAGAGAGACAGGCAGACAGGAGGAGTGAAAAGCGTGAAGACACAGAACAACATTTAGTCTGAATACAGTACAACCGGAGCTGCACACACAGCACTACTGAGGAGTGAATGTCATATGCGAGCAGCAACAGAGCATCCTTACCTGCTGCAATGTCACAGCTGTAATACAGATACTTGAGGAAGATGCGCTGCTCCCACAATTTACCACTGTTGTATTCTGCTGCTGAATATTTGGGACTGTCATAAGAAGGAGGGATGGTATTCTGTGTTATTTATTTTAGCATGAATGTAACATACAAAATTATTTTATACTCATTTATAGGGATATAACTAGTGTTGCAGGGTAAACCGATACTGAAAAAGTACTATGATACCCAGTCATTAAAAACAATACTATTCTCCATTTTATTAGTATTGGTACTTTAAGAGTATTCCCTACGATTTGTGTTGCTGTGCTATAGCGGGTCAGCAGCTTGACTTTCTCTCCCATTCCTAGCAGGCACAGTGGGCGTGTCAACCGTTTTCTCTCTCACTTTACAGCTTTCACAGACAGGAGAGTAGTGAATGGTGAAATTACCCTTTTTTTGGGACACTGTTCATTTGATTCGGTTCATCCAAAAGAATCGATTTGATTCATTCACCAATTCATTCAGTGGCACTTCCTGTTTGTGGATCTGAAACACTTGTGTTCCGATATCTCAAAAAATAGCCTATTATTTAGGCTAAATAGTGTTAAGGAGTAAACTAAATACCACTAATAAGTCATGTGAGAAAAATAATATGTTACTGAAGAATACTAAGACTATCTCAGCATTGTAACATTCTTTGTTAAAAACCCAAATCTAACAGCTCATCATCATAGTCAGCTAACAAGTCCAAGGACTAACAAACCTTGTTTGTAAAATCATTTTTAATCATGAAAACGTTGCATCTCTAATATCCAAATGCAGCATATGAGAAGTCACTTCACCTGTAGGCTATATGCTACAGCAGTAGATGCTGTATTTCAGTCACAATCGAGGTACGGCTCTCTTGTTCAGCAGCCAATCTGAGTCTCACGTTCACCGACTCACTCACCAACTCGTTCACTTTTATGGGTTTCTCATTCTCCAACTCGGTCGTTCATTCACTGTAGGTGTATATGTTCAGTCCCAGGCTTAGTTTCCAGCCAGCCATATGCTCACGTACAGCACGCCCCTTACATAACTCACTAATAATAGTTGAGGAGGGAAGCAACATTCACCTCATATTTCTGAGGACAAGCGGAATAACAAAAAGAACAAATCTTTTCAGGGAAATGAATGTGAGAGCATATTTCCTGTAAGTGACTTGTTTCATTGTTAGACTGTGACAATATCTAGCAGGATATTTCATGGTTATTTTGCTAGTACAGCTGCATTCTGTTGTATCCCTCTGTCAAAAATTGCATTGTTTTTGTCTGACTTTTGTAGTTGCATACTAGAAACACTGATGTTCTTCTCCGAGTGTGACTTGCTTTGTTTACAAGATCCAGCTGCTGCAAAAACATATAATTTTATTATTTTTATTTCATTTTACAAAAGGACTGGTACTACTGACTGCTGCATTGTTTATCATGATAAATATCGTACCGTGGACTTGCTATCATGATATTATCATACTGTCACGGGCTGCTTCAATGACCACGCTCCCCTGGGGAATCCCATTGCCAGGACACACCTCCTCGGGGAAGCCCCTGTTTTTGGCCCCCTGATCACACCACTGACTCCAGTTCATAGCTCCAGCAGATGTTTCCTGTTTCCCTATCAAGAGGTCTATTTCCAGAAGCCGGTCTCGCCGAAGGGTTGTGAGATCTTCGTGGTGTACCCTGGGTTCGAGCTGTCTTCTTTTTGGTTTCTATTGAGTGTCTGTGTACAGATCATCACTGTGTCCTAGATTCCGAGTTCTGCTTGTCCCCCATGGTACAGGCAACAACGATCACTCTGTATCTCTTGCTACTCCTCAACACTGAATTTTACCAGCTGTGAGGAGAATCCCTGTAGTGATCGGAAGCAGTTTCTCTTTGATTCTTTCAGCAATAAAACCTGCAGTTACCTGCAGCTGATCTGTGTCAGCGCTCACCTTTGGCATCACACATACCATGAGTTTTTAGTATCATTACATCCCTACTCATTAAGTATAACATTACGTATAATTAATGCAGTGTGATGAAGTCACACAGGTTCACACGTGATAACACACTCACTCACCTCCGCTCTGGGTGCTTCTCCATCCTGTCACCCAACACTGTGTCCCACTGGGGAAGACAGCATTGCCCAAGTCCAGGCACAGGGGCTGGATGTAGTCGGTCAAGGTCACACTTGTAGCCAGGTAGAGCACAGCGATGTTGTTACCCGGCTGGTTGCTAAGGGTGATGCTGGACACCGCTAGTGACATACTCATACCCAGAACCACTGTCCACTGGCTGCTGTTGAGCTGTGAGCTGGGGGGGGGGCATGGTGATGCAGTCAATGTGAATATATGAGGGAAATAAGAATTCTTCTTTTTTTATATTGAACTGGTGTTGGTGTTAGGATTAGGGTAAAGAATTCACTTCATCCCTGAGTTCATTGTGTTGTTGAATCAGTAATTCAAGTTGTTTACGTGATTTGATTTATTTATCATTTTCAGAACGTCATAAATCTCCCACTGATACATTTTGTTGAGGTTACAGAGATATCAGCAACCTTTGATTCTGTCTGTACTGACCTGTTGAAGCACTGGGCTGCACTCATGACGTATGTCTGTGTAATGAGAGTGCCCCCACAGACTTGGACCCCATTCATCTGCAGGCTGACCTGCCAGGGCCACATCCCTGCTGCTACCAACCCACTGCTGCCGCCATTGTTCAGTGGGGCGAGACCACATACAACCGCTGAGATGAAGGAGGTGGGGGAACAAAGCGGAGTATTAATATAATACCCAGGATCGTCTGCTGAGATCTACGCTGATCATAGCCTGTAACTCTGCCTCTGAAATGCAGTTACAATATTAACCAGTAATCAGAGAGAGCGCAGTTGGTACAGTTATGCAAAGGCTTCCCATGTTGTAAGACGTCGTTCTGAGGAAGGCAATCACACGATAGACAAAATAAGAATAACATATGAACCTACTGGGAAATTAAACCTGGGAAATATCAGACACTCACGCTTGGCAGTGGTGGTTGTGGTGGTGGGAGTGCTTGGAGTTATGGTAATGGACGGTGATGAACTGCAGGAGGTGCTGCTGTCACTGTTTTTCCCACTGGATGTATATGTCACAAATCCTGTTTGCTTGGTGATGATAATGGAATTGATCCAGGTCTGATAAGGAGACACCCTGGTGTAGACCCCAGGGTAATTGGGCTCGGCGCATTTATAGCCAAAACTCACAATCCCAGCCTGGATCCAAACAGACCCCTGTTTGACCACCAGGGGGCCTCCTGAGTCTCCCTACACAGGTATAAACAGAATTCAGTCAAACCTGGATATCAATCATACCAAACATCAGGAGCACATGATCTAAAAAAAGGTTGTGCAGAAACTTCCGCACCTGACATGAGCCCTTTCCTCCAGCTAGCACACCAGCACAGATCATGTTGGTTGTGATGATGCTCCCCCCATACAGACAATTACACTTATTGTTTCCAACTATTAGTACCTCCAATTCCTGTAGGGTGGCAGGTGAAGGGAGAGGCACTGAAAGGGGAAATCACCAAATATGTTAACCCTATCCATTTTTGGAACATTTTTATATCTTTAATTTTAGACTTATTACATTGTATGTACACGAGTTAGCAACATAAATTTTATGTTTTTTATTTTCAGGACATTCTAGGCTACTCAGATATGTCATAATTTGATGTTTAAATTCTGACACAATACTGATATCATCATTTTTATGAGTAAAAACTGCTTGCACCTATTGAAATTTATCAATTTTTAGTCTAATCTAATATAAGGATTTGCAGGCACTACAAATATCTTCCGACACCTTTCAACAATGAGATCCCTTTGATGCTTTGTAGGCTCTCTGCAAACTGTGGCTTTTCTGTAGGATGCAGTTGAGTAAATGTCAGGCAAATCTTACAAGGACAGCTGAACTATTTGGGGTTAATCTGAGTCACCTTAATTGATGGTAGGAGTGTACCCAAAAAGACTGAATGCTGTAATTAGACCAAAAGGTGCTTCAACAAAGTATTAGGGTGTGCACACTTATGCAACCAGCTTATTGTTATTTTTAAATTTTTTATATTCCCTCCAAACAGATCTGTTCGTCTTTCAATTTAATTATACAGGTTATAGGTCACATTAAAGGTAGGAAAATTCTTTTAAATGGTTTACTGTGGTCTCATTTTTTATATCTCAAAAACTTGGCATTGTAACATGGGTTTGTACACTTTTTATATCCACTGTATATTCGTTTTGTTTATATCTACTGTTGTGATGATAGTTGGTAGTGCATGGAT